GGAGGCTGGTGGTGGCTTTCTAATGGGACGTGAACATTTGAAGGGTTTCCAATTCCCATAACAGATCTCCTGTGTTCTCCTGGGAGGTTGCCTCCTCTCCTTACCCCTCTCCTTACTGCTGCTGAACAGGTACTTACTGCTCCAGGTATTGCAAAAGGGCCAGGACACAGAGGTGCAGGAAACACCCTGGCCACCACACCAGGTGAGGTGTTAGGGGCAACATGCCCCACCACGACTCCCCTCCACCTCCTTGCTCTGCTACTTTGCTGCCCAGAACATTGTACGAAGAAGCCCCAAGCAGCGCTGTGCTGACCATCCCCTGGCCCAGGCAGGAGAGGGATGATGGGTTGGAGGCAGCTGTGTGCTGATGGGGTGAATTTCTGGGTACTTGGTTTCGTCTTTCGTTTCTGCCTCGCCACTGACTTCTCAAGAAATCTGTTTGTGAGGCTGTTTCCTCTTGCTCAAAGCTCCTGACGTTGGCAGCACCGTGGTGCCACAAGCCCTGTCACAACCCTGCTGCACGTATCGCCGGTCCCCGTGGGAAGCTGGTGCTGTTGGGTAACACCAAGACTTCTGCAGAACAAGTCAGAGTGTGGTACTGACCAGAGAAGAGTTGATGATGAAGGGGTTTGTGAGGGGCCTGTGGTCACAGGGGAAGATGGAAGTGCATTAGGTCTTGGTTTATTTAACAGTGTTACATCAGTGGGGAGGTGGGAGTGATGGTCCTGCCTGAACCTGGGCCTTGGGGAGAAAACCCCTGAGGGTTTGGGAGCAAATAACCACCCTGCTCCACGATTAAATCCTTAACCCCAGGGAGGCGCTAGCACAGAACATCTGCTTAACTGAGGTGCCAAATTTGCCATCTCCTGACTGCATAAATGGATGCTCAGATGTCCTATGTGACCAGTCGGATATCTCTGGAGCCTGCAGTCCGTCTTGCACTGGCACTTCCTTGTTTCCACTGACTATGTAGGAAAACTGGGGTGCCTCCAGGTGGCAGCCCTGTCCACTCAAAAGAGGGGTTTGTTTCTCCATTGAGATGATAAGGAGACATTGGTAGTGGCTTTAACTTAGGATTCAGGCCACCTCAGTAGCACGGTGGTAGGAGAAAGCTGTATGTGTTAGTGGTGATGCGCCTTGCTTTCATACAATGGTAAAGCACTGGTAGGACCCATCCCGGACCAGATGATGTGGGCTCTAGGCTCTGACAGCCCATGGACATGGTCAGAGGGTTGCAGGACTGACCCCACAGAATCCTCAGTTCTGCCCAGGAGCAGGCAGGTAAGAATCATGGGGGTGGAAGGATGAGCATGAAACCAAGCACAGACCTTAGTGACTGCAGCGTTCCATTGAATGGTTACAGATCAGAACCTGGAAACATAACACAAAAAAGTAATTAGATTAAAAACCAAAACAACAAACCAAACAAACAAACCAACCCCAACAAGTATAGACTGGAGTCCTACACAGAAGTGACCACCACCACCAGCAAAAAGCTGCCTTCTGGCACTGGGTGATAGTCGCCATCTACCCCCTTAGTGGTTGGGACACACTTAATAGCTGTTGGGAAGAGAAGTGGAAAGCTCAGGCTTCAGCCAGCTCTGCATCTGAATGCAGAGGATCTAGCTAGCTCATTGCTCACAGGTGCTTGGTGGTATTCAGGAACATGTCCTCTTTTCCAACCACAAATGAGACTTGCAGGCTGACTTTGCAATTATTCTTCAATGCAGTGAAAAAGCAGCGCAAATAGTTGGTGCCTGGATTCTGGTTAGGCTAAGGAGAGAAGTCCCTTTTATTCTATCTTTAATTAAAGATGAGGTTTTGTTTCTGTCACAATGCACAGAATTACCTCCAAATCATGTTTGAGACTTCCAGAAGAGGTTAACTAATGCTGTGAACTCCCGCACCCAGGGGAGCTCTGAATTAATGCAGTATTCAAGTGGGGAGATCAAAGCCCTGGTACCGAATGAAATGCTAAGAGTTTTGCACAAGCAAAAACCTTCAAGACATTTCAGTGCAAGATACTGGAACCAACCAATGGCTGCGGATGGGGAAAATCTGGCTCCGTGGGATGGAGCTGGCCTTATTTGATGATCAAAGCAGGGGCTGATGGTAGCAAATCATTCACTGATATTTATGGAGGTATTGGCCATGGTCAAGGATGCAAGGTACCATCTGGGAAGCTGCAGGGCAGAAGCAGAGGCAGCATTCTGAACCATCTTTCTCCCCAAATCCCAGCTCACACTACAAGCCTCTTGCTTCTTATCTCACATCGTATCCCACTATGTTGTTCAGGAAGCTGCTCTACCCAGTGGCTATTTCTTTTTTCCTCTCTTCAACTACAAAGCAGCCCAACCCCAATGTTCTCATTCAGATGGCAGTTCTGTAATAGTCAGATCCTTTGAATAAACCAGAATTCAGCTGCCATCCTTTCATCCCTTGTTGCTTTGCTAAAAGAAACAACCAAACAAAGTATTGCAGACAGAATGCATTTTTCAAAGGCTCTGTCTTAAGGCAATATTTTCCTAACTCCACAAATGCGATCAAGTCAACAATTTATAAGGGCAGAGTTAGGCCACTAATTAAGCAAGAAATGCAGGAAAGATTTAAGCGGGATCTACAGCATTGACCTGTCCTTTTTCAAATGCCAAGTTTACAAACGTGACCGTGCATTTCAAATGGGTCAAGAGAGCTTGGTTGTAAGTACCCAACACATGGCTGTGAATTAATATTTAATCAAATGTACAGCATAGGGCTGAATATTAAAGCTTATATTTGATTTTTACTTCCATGATTTTCTTGGCTTTCTAAACCCCTCTGAAAATTCTTCAGTATTTCATAACAGTGTTACTCAGACGATATGTTTCTTAGCTTTGATTAGGGAGAATATAAATCTACAAAGGGAAATCTAAGCATGACCTCATCAGCATAAAGTATGTGGGAGACTAATTTGGTTACATCCCTATTAGTAATGACAAATCAAATTGTTCCTCCTGTTAAATCACTAATACAGTAAGGTTTTGCAACTCAGCACATGGCACGCACGATAAATCAGTTCAGTCTGTACACAGATACTGATGACAGCTTTAAATCTGGTTGATTTCTGATTCCAAACTGTTTCAGGGCAGTTCAGTTGAGCCATCCTAGTTCCCTCGGTACCTGGAAAGAAAAAAACCTAAAGTTAATCCCTACTCCCATGTACCGTATATTAAGCACTCAACATTTATAACCCTGCAGCTGATTGCTTAGCAACGTCTTTGGGAAGGAGGGCTCACCTGATGTGCTGTCAGGCACTCTTCCGTGGCAGGGTATGAGGACAGATGAAATGAGGTCAGGCAGTGTAAGCTTATCCCGTGCCGAGTGGTGTTTGCTCCACTCTGTAATGAAATTAATTGAGGTCATTTATTTGACCCTGTTTTATTGTTATAATTTGAAGCTATAATTTGAGGTGGCTCAAAGAGGCACAGTCTTATCTGTAATTATACCTTTATAATTACATTTATATTTTAAAGTAAACATTTTCATGTATTGCTCTGAATGGACTATGTATGATAGAGAATGAGGTTGTCTTATACTGCTTTTCAGCCACAGCTGCATTAGTGAAAATGTGGACTATAAATGGGATGGGGAACTGTTGGAATCAGTCAGTTGTGCGCTATTTAATTTGATTTTATGAGAGTGCTTAATGTATCTTATATCTTAAGGTTAAAACTCAGCCTAAACCCCTCTACAGGCCCAAAATCAAAGGTTAGGGCAATTGAATGAGACAAAGAAGAGCTGCTGTTGAGTCACATTAACTTTTAAAAGCTGCAGAGCCAGTGCACAAAGCTTGTCCTCATCTGGCCAAGCTCTAGGAGTTCCCAGCGGATGAAAAACCATGGACCATAAACACCTCCAGACAGATAGTTGTGACCGTGGTGAGCAAGCAGTGAGGGACCAGCCCCGGCTGACGGTGAGCATAAATTTCATTGCTTGCTCTATTTAGCATCTCGCTTGGTGAGACCACGATAGGGGTATGAAAGCACCTTTTGTCTACACAACCAATTTGGCTGCCTCTGTTCCCCCAGGCTCTGCTCACCGGCTGTCTCCATGGCATGCATATGAGCTCCCTCCTGTCTCTGTTCTGGAGCAAACCAACTGGTTTCTCCCAAGGAGAAACCTCGGCATGGCTGTCAGTATTGTTTTTTCCAAGGCTGCACAGACAGAAGAGCTTGTCATGAGCTGGATCAAACTCTACCCTGGACAATCCTCCTACCATCTCAGGAGGCATCATGTTCCACCAACCTCCATGCCATGCTGCAAAACCCCGAACACCTTCATGTCCTGCTGCAAAAGCATCCTGCTGGCAGGCTGCACTCCTCCCATCACTTGGGGAATTTAAACTTTAAAGCAAAGAGGTTCCTGATACAATAATTATTGACCCAGGGTGTGTGAGGCTCTGCAGGGAGCTCACAGCATGAGGGCAACCATTGCCCTTCAGAGGGTGCTGGTCCTTAGCAGTGTGGACACAAGCCAAGCCCTAGCAATGAGACTTGGGTTAATGGTGCCTCCCAGGCGTTTTCCACAGCGGCAGCAAACGCGCAGCCTTTGCCAAGTAACCAACACTCAGCATTTCCTTGTTTCTCCCTGAGATTATTTCTGGACTTTGCAAACCTCTTCTTCCTTGTGGGTCCCTGCTCCAATAGCAAAGTGGTGGGGCCTATCGGGAGCTGTAGAAGTGGGTGATGCAGCAGGTCCATGTGGATGCATCTGCACAGGCAGAATGAGGACACCAAGTGTGGGGAGCCCAGAACAAGGGAAGCAACGAACCTGTGCAGGAACAAGAAAATATAGCGATGTTGCTGGAAGAAAACAGCTTGGAAATGAATCTCAACTGTACTCCATCTTGGAGGGAATCTCCTTAAGCATGTAAGAAATCTGGCAATTTACGTTGAACAGTTAAAAAGAAGTTGAGATGCGTTTAGTGTAGCAAAACCCAAACTCACAGATTTAGTGAGAAAGAGGCAGTGAAAGGGTTCTAAGTTCTTTACTTACCAATAACCTTGATGCAGCTACCAGTGTATCCTGAATGTTTCTCCTTCTTAGCAAAATAGTGCCAAAATTGAGAGCTGAGCTCTAAAGGGCACAGTTGACATCACCCTTGGGTACCTGGTTCAGCTCTCAGCAAATAGACATCTTCCATTTCTTATCTATATTTACCTTATAGTATATATATATCTAATATATTTGTAACCAAGCATCTGTCTGTACTTGACTTATTCCCTTCTCTATTTAAACACGCACCTGAGAGGAATCATGGACAATCTGCAGTGAAGCCAATCACCTGTCACCAGCAATCAAAGCTTTTATAGAAGATGTCCCAGCACATCTCTGCAAGGCGAATATATGTGAACATGGATTTGTAAAAGATGCACTAGAACTGACTGACAAAGGACCTAGCAGGCACTGCACGAACAAGCCCCACAAGAACCTCAAGGCCCAGCCATCAGGTCAGTGTGGTTTGTTGTAGCTTGCCAGTTTTCACAAGTGACATGGTATTTTTGCTGCCTTGGTTTTTCACTTTCACACTTGAGGTGGTTTTATTCAAGATGGCTGCTTTGAAAATGCTTGCTCAGCTCCAGATTAAGAGAAGAAAAAGAAGATTCCCTCTCCAGCATCCCTATAGGCCCCCTTCAGATACTGGAAGGCTGCTCTGAGGTCTCAATGCAGCCTTCTCTTCTCCAGGCTGAACAGCCCCAACTTTCTCAGCCTGTCTTCATACAGGAGGTGCTCCAGTCCCCTGATCATCCTCGTGGCCTCCTCTGGACTTGTTCCAACAGTTCCATGTCCTTTTTATGTTGAGGACACCAGAACTGCACACAATACTCCAGGTGAGGTCTCACAAGAGCAGAGTAGCGGGGCAGGATCACCTCCTTTGACCTGCTGGTCACACTCCTTTTGATGCAGCCCAGGATACGGTTGGCTTTCTGGGCTGCAAGCACACACTGAAGCCGGCTCATGTTCATTTTCTCATCAACCAACACCCCAAGTCCTTCTCTGCAGGGCTGCTCTGAATCTCTTCTCTGCCCAACCTGTAGCTGTGCCTGGGATTGCTCCGACCCAGGTGTAGGACCTTGCACTTGGCATGGTTAAACCTCATGAGGCTGGCATCAGCCCACCTCACAAGCATGTCAAGGTCCCTCTGGATGGCATTCCTTCCCTCCAGGGTATCAACCGAACCACACAGCTTGGTGTCATCGGCAAACTTGCTGAGGGTGCACTGAATCCCACTGTCCACGTCAGCGTGCACATGAGGTGCTTCACTTTGTGCACATAAAACCAATGGTAATTCCTGAAATATCTGGCTGTGGAAACTATAGCAGGGCTGGGAGAGCAGGGCCATAAAAGCACTGTGTTCTTCATGCAATACTTGTTCTAGTAGGAGACCGAACACTACCTTTTGGGGCTGCTTTCTCTAGCAGGGCAGCAGATACTTTAAGCAACCCAGGAATACTCTGTTAAATACAGCGAGTGTGTTTAAACTGGGTGCAAATTCATTCTAACCACTTTGGTCTCCTTCACTTGCTGTATTGTCTCAAGGTCCTTCAGACCAGGTATTCCCCCCTCCAAAATGTGTAGAGCCAAGTGACAGGGAATGAGACCTGATCAGGCAAAGCTGAAACGGCTGGAGAAACGTCTTGTGACTCACTTCATGCAAAGTCTGGGCTGGCTGGGGTGATATCAGTGGCTTCACCATCACGACCTCCAAAACTAAACACCCCACAGCTTCCTGGTCACTCTTATCCTTCCTCAGCATCTCAACACATCAGCAGCAGCCTTGGCTGTTCCAGCAGAAGTCTCCCCTGTGCAGTCTGTTATTAAATTCTCTTATGTCTTTATTAGATATCAGATGTGATGAAAGAAGGTGGCGTCTCCAGGGAAATCTTGCATGAGGTGTGGGAATGGGATGTTAATGGACTAGGGAAGACACAAAGTCTACAAGTGTAATGATCTTCTAATGTCTCCGTGAGAGTATTAGGATACAGAACTCTTATTTTTAGTTTTCTCCCCAAAGAAAATGCACTTGAGAAGTATATAGAGCAAGGTGCTTATCTCTTCCCTACCCAATACTGCTCTCTTCTGTTTTAAGGATGGTTTTGGTGTCTTTGGTTTTTATTATTTTACTGTTCTGCAGTCTCCATCCATTTTATCTCATGTATTAGTATAGCCAATGAGTTCTTTCTATGCTCCATTTCAGAGGAAAATGGCAAAATCACTGCAGAATCAGCATTTTATGAATTGTCAATTAAACAGGAGAGGGGAAGATGGGTGCAGACCGCAGAACTAAACCCCGAGGAGCTGGTGCGTGGCAGGGACCTGCCCAAGGCAGGAGGAGGCAAACCCAGGGCCCCAGGTAAATAGCTAAATAGCTTAAAATGTCATGCTGTGTTACCCTTGTGTTCCTTAATTTAAGAGATGTTAAAACAGAGATAGGGTTGAAAGAATATGGTGTGAATTATTTAAATGCAGGTGCTTAAAAGCTCAAGAAATGCAGACAAATGGTTAAACCTGTATGTTCAGGAGGGCTGTGTTTACATTAGCTTCAGTACTCATCCCTTCTGGTGTGCCCTGCATGCATGTGCACGTCCTACTCCCTCCTTCCTCCTAAAAAGGCATCTTGTGAGTGCCTATGATACCAGCAGCAATTGTAAAGTTAGGTTTTCACACCAGAAACCCTCCTTCCTTTCACCATGGCTACAGGCTCCCACCATGCTGAAGGAGGTCCATGAGAGCAGCTGTACAGGGGAAGGGGTGTTCATGCAGGCTTCTCCTTAATCAACCCTTGCAGTTTGCAGTACTGCCTGAAAGATGGTATAGGATGAACATCACACAACTGCCCTTAGACTTAAGATGAATTTAAGAATTAAGGTGAATCAAAACATCTGAGAAGTTTCAACTCAGATTTTCTTGTATTAAATTTCCAGAGGACTAAAGGAAGATAAGAAAAGGACATTTTTAGGGTTTAAACTTCCTTTTAGCTGTAAATTACTTTGGAATTTGTGGTTATTTCTAATCAGGAATGCATTCTCCACTGCAAGTACTGCAGCCTGGCGAGGGATGTGCCCTGTCTTCTGTACACAACAGAGAAAGGATCTTCCCTTTCCGTGGAAACCCCAGCCAAAGCCAGGTAGGGGTGAGGATGGCTGGTTCCAAAAGAAGCCCATGTACTCCTGAATCCCAGCTCTTGTCACGGTTTTGGGTCTGGCATCATTGTGCTGTTTGTAAGCAGGTTTGCCTTGAGTCTCCCCGATGAGTGTACATGCTCACAGGACAGCGGGACACTGCGCACAACTCCTCTGTTTTGGGAAAGCAAACCAGAGCGCAGTTTGCTCCCAGAACACGTCCACATTGCAGCTGCATTATTAGCTGGCGCTGGGGCTCCCCTTGAGCTCAGTGGTCTGATGCAGCTGCTTGTAACTGCACAAAACCCTGTCCTTCACGAGGAAGGTGTGTTGTCTTTGGCCAGCTGGGATGTGTTTCTTGGATTGCTTCAAGAATAGTTTCTGCTTTAACAGACCTGAGCAGCTGATGATCTTAACGCTTGCTCTAATTGCTATTTAACTTCAGAACTGGTTTAATGTGTGTAGCAGCAGGAGTTACAAAGAAAATACCCTACCAGAATTTAAATAATAATAATATTGAAACAAAAATACAAAGCCTTTATATGTACAGGGAGAGACTTAAATACATGTGGAGCTTTTTAGGCTCTGGGTTTAAAACAGTGTAATCACAGAAACAGCAAGATTGGCCATAAGGGCAAGAGCTTGTGTCCTGAAAACCAGAAAGCAAGCAGACTGTGCAGATTGCTTTCTAATGGATTTCTTAAGGGTCTGAAGGAGACTTGTTGGTTAATCTAAGCTAAATCCAAGTTTAATTCTTGTTTTGTTACCATTCATCACGATGTTGATCAGGAACTGGAATGATGTTGATCCAGAATAGCTGGAAACCAATGTGCTACTGAAACCTGCCATATTTTATCTTTGAATTGCCTGTGCACAGGATTGGCATGTTAAAGCCAACCTGCAACCAGGACCTGGTTCTCTTCTTGCAGAATTGGCAGGGGGGGTAAATCTCTGATTTAGCACAGTATTTCAGCACAGGCCTAGCACTATTTGCACAGAAAGGACAGCAGATTTCTTCCTGCTTTTTAGCCCCCTCATGCTGCCTGGAGCTCTGTGCAAATCTCTCCAGAACTGTCCCTTATGGCTGAGGCTTTGCCCTCCTGCCCTCAGACCTGTGAAGAGCTGGGAGATGCAGGAGGGATGGCAGCCCTGCAGAAAGCTCACTCCTCCCTCCTGTGCCACAAAGGAGAGGAAACAGCTCTGATGGAGGTGACCAATGTTATAATCCAGCAGCAGAACCATATGCTGGCACGTTTTCACAGCCTAACCAGGCTGCAGGTGAGACAATGACCAAAATCCAGCTAACATCCAACTGGAAATTTAAGACATTGGCTTAAGGAAACCTGCATACCCAGACGGTCTGCTGGGGACCAAAACACCCAACAAACTACAGAAAATCATCGATGCTCCACAGTGACATGATTGTGTGACTTAGCACCATGGGGAATAAGGAATGCATCCGAGCAAACAAGTGATTTATTACTGCAAACACTGGCATGGCCACAGAGAGACCTGCGCTCCTGCAAACAACCCCTCAGCACAGACAGCTCCACGAATCTTGTCATTTCCTAGGAAATCACTCTTGTGTCACATCCAAACCCCTTCCTTACTCTCAATGCTGCAAGTCAGTGGAAGCCAGAAAGTGGACGGGGCCTTGCTCTTCATCACAGCATCTGTGTCTGTGTCTGCTGGGGGTAAAGCTGAGCTGTGATCCTGCCCTTCAGGAAGTGGAGGGGTTCACATTGGTCTCAGCCTGGCTTACATCTCTGTGTACTACAGAATATGCACATTTGTATGTCCACAAGAAAATAACACAACGCTTCTCCTTTGCTGAGGACAACTTTTATAAGCACTGAAAACCCCTGTAAAGTAAGCCCTGTAACTAAGTACCATGAACAATGCCATGATTGTGCCCTTGCAGTAATACAGGTCTGCAAGCCCTGTACACAGACTTATCAGCAGAGTTTCTCTCCATTGGCACGACCCTTTGCAGTGTCACACATGAGCCAAATTAGTATTCTTGGGATGGCAGGAAATGCTTTTTCCTCCAAGTGTTTCCATGAGCAGCGGGGCTCTGGTGGTGCAGCTGATCCTGCTCAGCCCTGAGCACACAGAAGTTTTTCCCAATCTTCTTCATCTCTGGCTTGGCTGAAGGCTGGGGCAAGCAAAAGTGAAGGCCTGCCATATGAAGTGAGACTTAGCTTCTCAGTTCCTTTGGGTTTTCCTAGAGTCACAGATTGGTTTAGGTTGGAAGGGACCTCAAATCTCATCCAGTTCCAACCCGTGCCACAGGCAGGGACACCTTCCACTAGACCAGGTTGCTCCAAGCCCCTGTGTCCAACCTGGCCTTGAACACTGCCAGGGATGGGGCAGCCACAGCTTCTCTGGGCACCGTGTGCCAGCACCTCAGCACCCTCACAGGGAAGAAATTCTACCTAATATCTAACCTAAATCTCCCCTCTTCCAGTTTAAAGCCGTTTTTCCTTATCCTATCACTCCATGCCCTTGTCAAAAAAGTCCCTCCCCAGCTTTGTTGTAGTCCCCTTTGACACTGTGGGATGTGTATATTTGCAAATAATTTTTACTAAGAACTGACTGAGGGCCTCTGGATACAGCTGTTCTCTAAAATCAATGACACTTCTGAGCCATCACCGCCTCCATCCCAACCGTAACTCAGCTGTCCTGCAGTGATTAAACGCAATCAGGAATTAAAGCACTGGCTTTGGGGGGCTTTGTGTGTTTTGGCATATTTTTGGCTGGTGGCTTTTTTCTTTAATTCTCACTGTGTAGCACTGAGCCTTTCTGCCTTTGAGTTCAAACTGATGCTATGGGAATCATTCAGTGAATGCTACTAAATATTTGTTCAGGATGGGAAGCTGCAGCACTGCTTCAGCTGAAAGATTTTCTTCTGTGCAGTCCTGACTGTCAGTTTTCCCCTCCCATTGTAAAAAACAGATTTTCATGCTGTTGTTTCAATGAGACTTGAACGTTTTGCACCCTGGGGCCATTGCGTACTGCTGGAGTGCAGCTCTACGGGTGGACTTTCTTTGCTTAGAGGTTATTAATATTTTCTTCATTAGCAACTGAAAACTGCAAAATGGAAACTGCTTACATCAGCTACAGAGCCACTGGAGATAAGATTGTGAACGTACAACATCTTCATGTCACGACGATGAGCAGGTGCAAAATGCCTGCTCTCTGCTTCCCCACAAGCGGTTGCAGCTTTTTATCAGCCTGGTTTATAAAGTACCAGGTAGTGGAGTCAGCCCCAAAAGTCCTACATCATAGTACTCAAGATCCTTTCTTGGGTGTTTCTGCCTTTCTGATTTGTCACCCAACTGCCCTCTCCTGATGTGTCTGTAAAAGTGTTAATGCAGCAACTCACATAACAATGCCCATGGCTTTAGATAAAAATATTTGACTGCCCTTGAGATGCTAGCCTCATCCTATGGGGGTATTGCCTTCTTTTCATCTTCCTCTGGTGTGCAGCTAACCTGTTTTGAGTTAACCTTTTGTTTCACCAAAACCTGTTAGCAGGAACCATCAGTTCAGGAGCAAGGGCACAAGAATGGACCCATACCAACAGCCAAAGATCTGGCAGAAGCTCTGTGCCAGCTGTGCCAGCTCCTTCCACTGCTGGCAGTTTTGAGGCCAGCACCAACAGCAAAACTGCACCTTGAATGTGAAGCAGAGCCATCAGAGCGAGCATCTGTGGGTACCATGGGCCAGCATGAACAAGTGCTTCCATTTCTCTGCTGATGCGTCTGATGTTCTGATATACCTCGTGCAATGTAGTGTCTGCAGCACTGAAGTAAGCACCCACACCTTTCAGCAGAGGTGTCTCATTGAGTTTGAGAACACTAATTGCTTAGGCTGAGCTGGGAGGGTAAGACAGGCTTTTGCTTGGGAACTATTGAAACATTACACTCGAGGGCTGTGCAAGCTGAGAACTGTGTAAACAGAACAGATAAATTATCCCCTAAGTTACAAATGGGCTCAGAAGTAGAGCTACAGCCAACCTTTGCATTAGCTGGGAACAGCTGCATACACCATAGCCTCCAAATTTCCATAGAAACTTGGAACAGCCATAGATTATCTTCATTTTGTAAATGTTTTAATTATTATACTAGAATATCATTCTGAAGGGACTGCACTGCTAAAGCCAAGGCTCCGTGGAACCCGCATTTTACAGGCAGTTTCCCTAGACTGTATTTTAAGAAAAGCAAAGCTGGTTTAGGATGAAGATTTATGGTTTTCAATAGATTTTTACTTCTTTTCCATGCTACTCCATGCACTCTTTTAAATAAATAAACTCCCACTGAGCTTGCTACTCCAGTGGGACTGGATTGAACTTCCCAGGCACGCACGAATTATAAAGTCAGATACACGTTCCTGCGGAGAGGAGAATTACTCGCAGAAACCATCCACTGATGCACGTAGCCCCAGTCCCTCGAAGAGTAAAAGCCTGGGTGCAAGGAGCGGGCGCCGCACCCTGACGGAACCAGCCCTGCATTGCCCCACACAGCCCTGCTGCTCCCCACGTGTCGCAACCCCTCTGCGCTGCGGCCAAGGCGATGGCCCCGCTGATTGCAAAAGGGGCTGACAGGATGCGGCTCCTGCGTGCGCGGCGGCGCCGCTGCTCACACGATCGGGTACCCAAGGGGAAGCGGAGTCCGGCGGGCGGCCCTGGGAGATGCGCTTGCATCAAAGCCTTTCCCACGGCGAGGGCTCCCGGCGCGGCGGCAGCGCTGAGCGTGCCACTGCATCCGTGTGTGCCCGGGTCCGTGCGCGACCCAGCGCAACCGCGCTGCAGAGCTCTTCTTTGGGTTAGCCGTTGTAAACGCAGCCCGAGGGTGCAAGCTGCTGCCCCTTGGTGCCACAGGGTGTATGTAGGTTGTCGTGGTGTGGTGCGGCCATGGGTTTGAAACGGTCCCGTGCCAGATGGGAGCCTGCCCACAGCCAGCCCTGCCTGCGG